TTTATACATAACAAACATCGAAAGATTTCATTTCCTTCATCTGAGGTGATTTTAAATTCAGTGTGGTAAGTTTCTTCCTCTCTAATTCAGTATTTCTCTAATGTCATTGTTGGTACAAATGCTGTTATATTCTTGGATACTTGTTTTATATATTAGTGTTTCAACAGTTTAGAGAAAATTTATTTTAATTTATTTAAACGTGAGTCCATTGTCATAGTTCATTATTATTATTAGTAGTAGTAGCAGTGTTTATATTGTACAATATGAAAAAAGTGTTCTTACATAGTAATTACATAAAATCATGCAATTCACATGATATTTTTAGAAGTAATGGAACTAACCACTCTTATATTCTCTAGGTACAGTATATATTACACTGACTATATAAATACACTTTTCTACCAGATTAACCATGTGCAATACTTGTATGAACAAAGCAATGATGTGATGGCTCGTTTTGATATGATTGAGTGGTTTGAAAGGATGGGTTCCTACTGAAGTTTGTGTCATTTGATCCATAACAATTACATTTGGAAAACTGCAAAGTGCTCCGTTCTCTTTTCATTGCTATTACAGCGTTACAACTGCAGTATTACATATAGTTATATATAGATAGGTTTTTTTTTTTTATCTTTTGGGAAGATAAGGTTATCCTCTACTGAGAAGCTGAAGAGAGAAAGGCTTCATATTTATAAAAACACCTACCTTTATCTTAAATACAGGATTCTCTTTTTCTCCTAATCCGTCCTGTCAACTGTGTGATTTTTGTGTCATAAATCTTTTAAATGTTGGCAGACATGCAATGAAAATTTCTAGAGAGGAGTCTTACATAAGGATGATTAGTAATTCCAAATTCAATGTAGTGTGGATTTATGGTGAAAAAAAATATTTACCCTTGATGATATCAGCACACAGAAATCCATCAGACTTCATATTTTTAAAATCAGATAGACATAAGACCTCAATGTGAAGCCTTTTTTTCAAGCATGTATAATCTTATCTGACTTCTATGACACGATTTGAGGGCATAGTACAGTTGTAAAACAACAACAACAACAACAACAACACTGAATTTGAATTGTTTGAAATTCAGTCTTAACTCTGACAGTTAATGGATCCATGGATTTCGCTGTGTAAGCGAGTTGAATATTTAGAGAAAAGTAACACTGGTCTTTTGGTTTTAGTTGGTATGAAGTTTAAATTTAAAATCCCTCAGTTATGGAAATAAAAGACAGGCTGTAAACAATTTTTATTTATGAAGCTGAACCTTTTAATGTGGAAGTCCGTGACAATTAACTACAGACGTTGTATGGGACCGACTCACTTTGGGAAACAGCCTCAAGTTGCCATTAAAGAAGCTCACCTTTCTCAGTACTTGAGCTTACTGATCATCACTTGTGCCTGGCAGTGTAGGCGAATTAGGTATTATTTTCACAAATATCTTTTTGCCATGTAAATTTATGCAGATGCTCCTCTTTAAGCTATCCATACTGTGCATGTACTTTTGCCAAAGTCATCTGTCCTGCTCTGTCGCAAACACACACAAAGAAACCCTATTTGTCGCATCGGCTTTGCACCTGAGGGAGAGCTGAGCATGCTATCGCCTTTCACCCTCACAGTTACAATGACACCTTGGGGAGTGAAGACTATATGGAGGTTATGGCCTGCAAACGAAATGCTCCAACGTGTGGGAACTCAGAATGGAAAAAAACCCTTCTGGGAACCTAAATGAGAATGACACCTGGGAAGAGAAAACTCAGGGAGGAGAGGAGAGGAAGGATACAGTGTATACCTGCTCGAGCAGGCTAATCAACACAGGCAGGCTGTGGCACTGATTTCTCAGCTATGACAGTGAACATTTCTACAACACTAAAAAACATTACCCATAAGCTGTTATTGAATCAACTGTTCAAAGGATGTTTGAAGGATGATGACGAAAATGAAAAAGTTTGTTTTTAATTATAAAACATTTGCAAAATGTTAGCGCGCTGTGAAAAAGTAATTGCCCCCTTCTTAATTTCTTCTTTTTTCAGATATTTGTCACACTTACGTGTTTCAGCTCATCAAACAACCATTAAATCACAAATTAACTGCATGTTTTGGAAAGCTAAGTTCAATTTCACAATCCACACCCAGGCCTAGTTACTGCCAGACCTGTTGGATCAAGAAATCACTTAAACAGAGCCTGTCTGATAAAGTGAAGCAGGGTACAAGATCTCAAAAAGAAACTCATCACGCCACGATCAACAGAAAGTCAGGAACAGATGATAAACAAATTCATTGCCATCTATAAGCATGGAAAAGGCTTTGGGACACGGTTAGATCCGTTATCCACAAATGGAGAAAACTTTAAAAAAGAAAAAGAGCAGTGAAGCTTCCTTGGAACAGCAAGCCGACCAGAATCCTGAAAGAGAATGTCCGACCATTCGTTCATGCCCTGAATGCACCAGCAACACACCACCAAGTCCAAACCCCCCCAAAATGAAACAAAAAGTAAAATGAAAAACTGTACGTTTATCCTGGAACAAAAAAATATATATTATGCAAATAAGAGTGGGCTAAAATTCCTCCACATTGATGTGAGAGAGTCATTCTCAGTTATCGCAAATGCTTCATTCCAGTTTTTGCTGCTAAAGGTGGCACAAGTAGTGGTTTTTAGTTTAGGGGGCAATTACTTTCACACAGGGTCATGTGGGTTTGGATATCTTTTTTCCCCCTTTAATAAATGAAATAATCTAAAATATGTTTTGTATTTACTGCGGTTATGTTTGTCTAATATTAAAATTTAAGATTTGCCAACAAAAACAGAACAGCCTGCAGTTTTTTACAGATGTGGTGTGGGGGAGCTGTTAAGGTAAGAAATTGTTCTTTTTAAGCTCGTCTGCTTGTCCATCCATAAACCCCTTTGCTAAACTTTAGTGACTATACTCACTGCATGCTTTATTTTCCCAGGTAATAAACTTTGCCATACTAGGACTGCACTGTAGTGGTGCTGTTGCTTCACAGCAAAAAGGTTCTGGAAACCTGGTGGATACCTGGAGTTTGCATGTTCTCACTGTTCTCCACTACTTTGGCTTCCTCCCACATTCCAAAGACATGCATGTTCGCTTAATCTGTTAATCGCTTAATCTGATAATCTGTCAAAATTAAAACACTGTACGAATGTATGGCTAAAAGAGTGGTCAGTAGAAAAGGTTCTCCTCCAAGTACTCTGGCTTCCTCCCACCGACATCGATGTTAGGTTAATTCATTAGAAACTGGCCATATGTGCAAACACTTGACAATTACATAAGCTTACATAAGAGTCAGACTTGTTATTAAAAACATTTTGAGAATGTTGGGTCCTAATGGTTGAAAATGTGACACGTTTTAAAAGGTTTACCACCAAAACATTTCCTTTTCCTTTTTTAAGAAAACACCAGAAGAACAGTTTAGAGCAAACACTGAATCATATCGCTCTGCAAGTGTTTTAGAACAAAAAGATGACGATGGTGTCTTTTTATGTGGACCTGTGTGTGCAGGGGGAAGCAGACGGAAATGCTCTCACGCTCATCTCAGTTTAACGCTATTTCTGAGAATACGTTTTTCCTTGTCCAGGTAAAGAATAAATGCTGTTATATGTTCTGCCACATCTCAGGTTGATATCAGTCCTCATACTCGTGCTTTTGTCCTGCGCTCTCTAACACCACTGGATATACTAACAAGATGTCTGGTAGGTGTATTTTATCATCTCTCTGGCTTGTTGGGTTTCACCATTGCACAGCAATACTTTGTCTCCACCACTAGACAATAGGCTGAAGCTGTGAGAACAAAGGCCCCAGAAAGAAAGGTGTAATGAAAGACAAGGCTGGGGATGTCTTTTTTTTTCTTGTACTAGGTCAGACTCTCCTTTCTGTGTGTGAGAGAGAGACATTTAGATAAATGGTGTATCATGAAGGGGAATAATGAGAGTGACAGGTATGAACACAATATAAAAGAGGCCCAAGTTCTCAGACTTGTCTCGGTGTGAGAGGATTGTGTTAGAGCGTGTGTCCCAGTCTGTGCGGATTTATACTCGACTCCCAATAAGGTGAGGAAGCCTTGCTTATATAGTATTGCTCATTAGCAGCGCGCGTGTGGAATTAATGGCAGTGTACCAGCTGATTGTGTAATAAGAAAGTAAAGCTTAATCTGGATTTTCTTTATTTTTAATTAAAAGTTCAAATGACTCCATTTAAATGTAGAACTTGGACAAACTTTATGAATGACTTCTGTGTTAATGCCCATAACTTCACCGCACCATTGTATTCATAAAATTCAAACTTTGCAGGAGTTCATATTGCCACAGACGACATGTGTTGAGACTAGATTTCCCTTTGTGAGGTTTTGAGTACCTTGGCAGCTTTTTGTACGTGTGTGTCGTGTGTTTGTGTAGCGATTTTGTGTATTGATACTGTCACTACTATGCTACATAGATCACAAAACTCTGAGATAAAAGTTCTAAGATGTGATGAATAGTTAGTAAATGATGCTGGTAGTAAGAGTGCTAATGCGGCCTGTATGAACAACTTTATTTGATGTATTGATACATATAATTTATCAGCTCCGGTATTTTTTTTAATTCGTGTGTGTGTGCGTGTGGTCGTGGATACACTTACAATTTTAGGAACTTACAACAAATTGCGTTTATATGCGTTGGCATGTTTCTAATGTCTGCCTGTGCGTGGACTGATTTGGTCATTATGTTTGTGAAACCATCTTGCAACCTTGTTGTGTTTGGTTACAAATGATCGCACACGTCACATGCGTTTCCTATTTAGGGCTTTTGGTTTTGTGCAAAATAATACCAGAATTTTTCAATCAGACTGATGAGTTTACCTCATTAGTCTGTGCAGATTATAATTTACAGCGTATGAGACTAAAATGTCTGTTTTTTCCACTCTACAAAACATCTTCATGTATTTGTGATCTGTGATACTGTCCATTGATGCTTATTTTTTCTTCTTGCACCAGTTACTATGATGAACCCGGCTCAATCCTGCCACCTCTTAATGGCCTTCCTGTTTGTTGCTAAACTAACAGGTGAGTCGATGACAATGACTACACAGTTACGCAATATCTGACTTCAGGTATAATCCGGTTTCCAAAAAGTTGGATGTTTTGCAAAATTCAAATAAAAGCTCAGTGAGAAATGTGGGAAGAAAATTTCAAAGTATACGATTCAAAGACCATCTTCTAAATGCTGAAACTGAGAATTATCATTTGATGCCAGCAACAAAAGCTAAGGTAGTTGCAATTAAAGATTAAAAACAAAAGAGGCAGTGGGACACTGTACAACAATTTGAATTATTCAGTAATATGAGCGGTATAAACATCTTTAATTCTGAGAGGCTGAGCCTTTCAGAATTAAAGATGCAAAGGAGTTCACCTTTCTGTGAAAAACTGTACAAGTAAACGACTACAATTTAGGTTTAATGTCTTCTCAACATAAAAATACTTACAGTACATTATATGATTAAAAAAAATACAAAAACAATGCAAAATCCATATTAAATGGCCACAATCGTCAGGCAGTCTGACAGCACTGCATTGAAACAGGTCTGATTTTGCTCATGGACACTGGAGAAAGCCACTGTCTGTGAACATGGAGGGTCACTGCAAAGAAAATACCCCTATATGTATAGAAAATTTTGACATAATCCTTTGTCTCTGTGTATCTTAGGTGCATATGGGAACAGAATAATTGGGGGTACACTGGTAAACCCTTACACCATCAAATATCAAGCCTCCCTCTTGTACAGCAACTCCCATTTCTGTGGAGGCACCCTCATCCACCCGCAATGGGTGGTGTCTGCTGCCCACTGCTGGAGGGCGTAAGTTACTGCAGCTGTACATCAGGAGCACAGACACTGATCAAAACCTTGCATTCATATGTTAATACAGAGCACATCAATGTTTTGTGCTATCATTATAATTATTAATACATTTATTCCTTTTTAAATATTTGGACAACTTTTGTGTGTCTTTGATCAGCTGAACAATTATTCATGTCTTCCCCTCTTGTAGGAGTCACACGATTAAAGTGGTCCTGAGTCAGCACAGTCTCACCCAGTGGAATGGATTGGAGCAGATATTCAACGTCTCCTTGATCGTTAAAAACTCACAGTACAGCTACTGGATGCTTGACAATGATATCATGCTGCTTAAGGTAAGAGACAGCCATGACTAAGACCTCATGATTTATTGTTACTGTTTCTAGACATTTACCTTGGGATGGGAGGTACAGATAAGTGGCACACCCAGGTTGTAGTGTGCAAACAGAGCAGGATGCTTAAAGATGTTTAAATAGTTAAAAATATTTAGAATAATTAGAAAAGTACAGATTTTCTATTGTACCCGTGCATTAAAAAGTAGACATGTAACTTCCAATAAGTTAGTGCATATAAACTGAGAAAAGTAGTTATAACAGTGGTAGTTGTTCAGTTGATTAGTGCAAGTTACAGCGCTGATGTAAACATCTATGTTTGTTGGGAGCAGTTTTGATTGTACAGCTGCAGGGAGGAAGGACCTGCGGAAACGCTCCTTCATGCATCTAGGATGCAGCAGTCTGCCACTGAAGTAGCTCTGCAGTTCAGCAACATTTACATGCATGGGGTGGGAGACTCTGTCCATCAGAAAGGTTATTTTGGCCAGAGTCCTGTCTCCCACCACCTGCACTGGATCTAGGGTGGATTCCAGAACAGAGCTGGCCTTCCTGATGAGTTTATCCAACCTCTTTCTCTCAGCTGTCGATAAACTGCTGCTCCAGCATACAACACTGTAAAAAATGACGGATTCCACCACAGAGTCATAAAAGGTCTTTAAAAGCGCTCCCTGGACTCCAAATGACCTCAGCCGCCTCAGCAGGTAGAGTCTGCTCTGACCCTTCCTGTAAAGAGCATCAGTGTTGTGGCTCAAGTCCAGTTTATTATTCAGGTGAACACCCAGGTACCTATACGAGTCCACTATCTCAATGTCCACTCCCTGGATGTTCACCGGTGTCAGTGTGGTGGGTCTGCGTCTCCGGAAGTCCACCACCAACTGCTTGGTTTTCCCGGCATTGATCAGCAGGTGGTTCTGCTGACACCAGTCCAGAGTTCACTGTCTGTACTCTGAGTCGTCCTCACCTATGATGAGGCCGACTATGGCAGAGTCGTCAGAGAACTTCTGTAGGTGGCAGCGTGGGGAGTTGATGGAGAAGTCTGCAGTGTAGAGGGTGAAGAGGAACGGTGCCAGCACAGTTCCCTGTGGGGCCCCCGTACTGCAGACCAGTGTATCAGAGACACAGCCCTGTGTCCTCACGTACTGTGGCGTTCTGTGAGGTAGTCCAGTATCCACTGGGACATGTGGTGGTCCACTCCTGATAGCTCCAGCTTGTCCCTCAGAAGTTGTGGCTGGATGGTGTTGAAAGCACTGGAGAAATCAAAGAACATGATCCTCACAGTGCTTCCAAGCTTCTCCAGGTGAGTCAGAGCTTGGTGCAGGAGGTAGATGATGGCATCCTCCACCCCAATGCCAGGCTGGTAAGCAAACTGCAGCGGATCCAATGAAGACCTCACCAGGGGGCGCAGATGGTTTAGAGACAACCTCTCGAGGGTCTTGATCAGATGTGATGTCAGGGCTACTGGCCTATAGCTGCTGAGGTCGTTGGAATGGGGGTCTTTGGTACCGCTACCACACAGGAGGTCTTCCACAGCTGTGGTACTTTGCCCAGCAACAGACTCAGGTTGAACAGATAACCTAGGATGCCACACAGTTCATCTGCACAGCACCTCCGGACCCTGGAGCTGATGCCATCTGGACCTGCAGCCTTCCGCACCTTGATCTTGCGAAGCTCGTTCCTCACTTGAAGTGCTGAGATAGATAGAGTGGATTTTGGGGGAGGGGTGGTGTATGTTGGAGTCCACAGAAGCCTGGGGTGGGTGTGATGGCTGGGAGCTGAGAGATGTGAGATGAAAGACAGGCAGTCACTGAAGATGAGGGAGATTGCAGCAGGGGGGACTATGCTGGGAGAGGTGTGGGTGGTTGATCAAACCTATTAAAATATTTGTTTAGGTCACCCACCCCAAATCTTCTGCAGCCTGGGGGGTTGGTTTTTGTCCTGAGCTTGTCTTCAGGCTGCTCCAAACCCCTCTGATGTTGTACTGTTGCAGCTGCTCTTCTGTCTTCCTGCTGTAGTTTTCCTTCCCTTCCCTTATCTTCCATTCTAGATAATAGATAGAAGAAAAGTCTTTAAGCTGGTAAACAAAATTACCTATGTAGTTTATTTAGTATTACATCTGTCCTTTATAGAGGATTGTGTAATTGTGTTGCTGAGCTCTATTAATAATTTCCTGACTGATGATGAATCCCTCATTGAGCCAACAATAAAATGTTTTCCAGCAGTCGCGGAAAGTCGATTCTGTTCGTCTGGACATAGCATTTCCCGAGGCAGAAACCTTTTGTCACTCATCCAAGTGACTTCTTCAATCCCAGCTGACTGCAGGTTTGATGACCGAAACTAGCCCCATTGAATAACAACGGACCAGGAGGTCACGATCTTTAATATTCACCCTCTTACAACGCTGTGAGTGCTGTCATTCCTCAACTCTCTGTGAATAGTATCCATGGACATTGATCAATGGTCATGACAATTTGCATATTAATGATCATGAAACTGACCTCACAGCCTGTTGTGCTAGTTTCGGTAATTATAGGAATGTACTGTTTATAAGGTTGGGGAAACCTGCAGTCAGCTGAGACTGAAGAAGTCACTTGGATACGTGACGAAACGTTTCTCTCACTGAAAATCCTACAGAACAGAATCAACTTTGTGGGATTTCCTTACCTGGATGATTGAGTATGCAAGTGTGTCAAACGGCATAAACTATTATGTGGCAACAAAACCCATAATAGTCATTAAACCTTATGTTTTAACTTTGCCACTTTGCTTCAGTTCTTTGAACTTTGTGGGCATTCCCTCTGCACAGCTCTCTTAAGGTCTTGCCATAACATTTCAGTCAGGCTAAGGTCTGAACTTTGACTGGCCAATCGATTCTTTTCATTTTCAGCCACTCTGTTGTATATGTTACTGCCCTTGGGATCATTGTCCTGGTACATAAGCCAGTGACTCTAGAATACTTTGCTATACAGAGGAGTTCATGGTCGTTGTGCTGTCTTTGATTTTTGCAACACATGGTGCTGTGAAATTATGGCCAAACATCTTCATTGTTGCAGGAAGTCTTGTTGTTTCCTCAGAGTCTATTTTGCAAACTTAAGTCATATGTATGACTTGGGTTGGGTATAAACAAGTATAGCTTGTTTGTCATGAACTTTAACATTTAACATGCTCACTGAAGCCTAGAGAGTCTAAAATGTAATGCTCCAGACATGCCTGCAACTTATCCTCTTAATTGCTATGGAAGAAGTGAGGGTGTACTCAGTTTCTACCGGAGAACTCTTTCCTTTTCACATTTCCGTACCTCGCACTATGATTCCTTTAAGTTTTACCGAGTTTCAGTAAAGGTTTCCACAAAGTTCATTTTAGTATCTAACATTGTTGGGATTCTATACCCACTATACCCTCTGTATTCAAATCTATAAAACAGTAGTTATTAGCTAATAAAATGTGTTGTCATAATCTGAAGTTTTCACTAACTGTGATTTTATAATAATTGTGTTAACATGCTTTTGCATCTTTTTCCTTTTTCTGAATCATTCTCTCAACCTGGCAGGGACTGCAGAAGAAAACTAGCTTTTATGGCTAAATATGGCACTGTTAAATGATAGACTGAACGTTATATTATGTATCCTATGTAGACAATGTTGACTGACAGAAGGATTTGTTTTTTGTGGGTCAGCTGGACCGTCCAGCTATCATCAATGACATGGTCGAGCCAGCCTCGTTGCCAGACCCTAACTCTCCGCCACTGGAAAACCTGAATCTTTGCACAGTTAGTGGCTGGGGTGTTACCTGGATGTACAGCCAGAGTTTATCCCCCGAACTGAGGTCAGTGGAGGTGGAATTGTTCACCAGCTGCTGGAATTACTACCCCTTCAGGATCACAAACAACATGATCTGTGCTGGCTCTAGGAGTGGCGGGAGAGACTCCTGTCAGGTAACATATGTAAATACAAAAATGAAATACAAAAGAATGATACAAGACTTGGAAATGGACACTTCAGTTTGTCTATTTTACACTGTTGACTTTGCATTTGTTTTTGCTTTTTAATGGAGTAATGCGGTAAACTTTAAATTGCCAAACAGCAGCAACAATGTCCCACTAACAAAAGCAATATCACTTCTAATGGTTGCTGGACTTTGCATGTTTTGTATTTCCTTTAAAAATAAACAAATAAAATTTGTCCTATCAGGTAACAAACACCCTGAAATCTTTTTTTTTTTCTTTTCCTTTTTCAGGGTGATTCTGGAGGACCTCTTATTTGTAACGGTAAATTTGAAGGCATTGTATCTTGGGGCATTGGCTGTGCGATTTCATACTACCCTGGTGTCTACACCAAGGTCAGAAACTACATTGGATGGATGAATCAGGTTATTGAGAACAGCTAATAACAATCCTTACCACTAGCTAACAGAAAATTCTACCTTGATTAAAAAAAAGAAGAAGAAAAAGAAACAAACTTGAATGGCTCCTGAAGGACCAAAAATGCTATGTTTATCTTTTATATAATTGTTTTTATATAATCACAGATATATTTGTTAAAGCTAAATTACCTGGAACCTACACCTGACTGACTTTTATTCCCACTGACTGAATATCACCGTTATGATACAAACTGAACCAGGTTTTACAATTCATTCTGCTAAAAACACTTTTTTATGTTACAGTTATATTACAGTGTTATACAGAAATGAAAACATTGTCATAGATTTTGGATAACGTCTGTTTCAGGAATTGTTTTTGCTCTTTGAAACCTTCTATTGTCCACTGACTATAAACATATGGACCTTAAATAAACATTTTCTGAGAATAACCTGTGTTTTTTTCGGTCATTAAACTAAAACTAAAACTAAAACTCACTACGAAACTTCCTCAGAATCCGGTCAGGCAGGTGAGTCACACTTAAGTCAGAGTCTTGCCCAAACCCTAGTTTCATGTCACATCTGCACAAAAGTCACAAAGGGACAACACCTCCCTTTCTTTATGACAGCATGCTGACATTCTGGTGAGTGATTGGCTGTTTGTGCCCTCTCCCCTTTCCCTCGGTCCCATTCACATTTAAAGCTGAGCTACAACAGGCTCACACACCAACTTTAAAAGAAATCTTAGAAAATACAACCGTAATCATGGCAGGAACCCAGTCCAACAGTGAGGTGATGCATATTGAGGATCGTGACATTAAACATGTTTCCAAAGAGACAGTTGCAAAACTGATTCAGCTCTCCCACGAGGCGAAGGAGCAAACCTACTGTCCTTACAGCAAATTCAGAGTCGGGGCTGCGCTGCTCACCCTTGACAACAGTGTGCATACAGGTAAGTCTCATGTGAAACTTGTTGTTTAGTAGATGCATGTATATCATATGAAGCTTTAAGGTAATGGTTTTAGGTTTGAGGTGAACACAAAAGCAAGTTATTGGCTACTATTTACTGAATGAATGCTGTTGCACCAAAACACAAAAGTAACTTTTAGCATAATTGTACCCTGAAAAGTATATAGTGAAAGACGGGAAGACGTGAGCTAAATTATTATGCTGTTTGTATCTGAGTCAAGTCAATTCTTGCTTCTTTATGGTGCAAGATCTCCACACACGAGTGAGAAATGACAAAACCTCCCAGCTCTTACCTTTGTTTTTGTTTTATCCAAATGAAATGCACAAGAAATTACACATTAGTTTGTTCTGAGTTGTCTTGATCCGCTGTGTTAATGATTACCTGACAGTTCAAATGTCTGGACTTGGTGCGGAAAGCTCAGATAAAGGTTTATTATTTATCGTGTGGCTCTACATCCTCAGCTTTTTATAATTCCACATGACTGAGTTAAATCACATTTCTGAGAAGGAACACATCTTAGCGTTCCCGCGAGCTAAGGGAGCCCTTCGGTTATCACTTGCTTCAACGGCACTGTGTGCACCGAGAGGGATGTCAGACCACTGTCTACAATAAAGCAAAGACACAAAAGTCTGGTCAGTGTCACTGGACTGTACAAACCTTGGCAAGTGTCCCTCAGTGGGAATGTCTGGGGAGGGTAAAAGGCTGGTAAACAGCTATGAATGTTTTTTACCATGTGAAGAACCCCGTTTATTGCTCACGTTGCCAAAAACAATTCCTTTCTATTCTTGTGTCTTCGGCAGGTTGTAATGTGGAGAATGCCTGTTACAATCTGGGAATGTGTGCTGAGAGGAACGTTATTGCAAAGGCAGTGTCAGAAGGGCACCGACGTTTCAAGGCCATTGCAATTGCCAGGTAAGGAGCACGTATAATTAACACACACACAGTAATCTGGAAAGTTCTCCATTTCCACAGATGCAGGCATCCTTCCTGCTGTTGCAAAGTCTGAGACTATGACTCACTCCACATTGCATGTCTTTGTGCACGTCGCTAAACCTTAAGAAACACAGACAGACTACCAATGTTATTTCTTAAACCAGGTTAAGACTTTTTTTGTCTGTATATTGTTTGTTAGGGAAGAGTTAAGGCTATAGGATACTTCTCCTTAGCAATCAGAAATCTTGAAAAAGCTGGAGAAGTGATACTATAACTAAGTATGTGAAATTCTGCCGTGAATCCTAATATTAAATAGAAGCCAAGAGTTTTTCTTTCTACATTTGCCAATTCAACTCTTCTCCTTTCCTCAGTGACATGAGTGACCAGTTCATTTCCCCATGTGGAGGCTGCAGGCAGTTCATGAGAGAGGTATTAACTCTGCTCATTTTGGTTTGGAGCAGATTTGTTTAAAGGGGACCTTTAATCTCCAGTCAGTGATTGTATACAGTACACAGTGACAAGCTCACACGTCACTCTAGCCAATATTTATCCTGTTTGTGGCCTGTGTAACACATTAGAAGGTGCTAGTTTGTCATTAAACAAACATTTCAGTGTGAAACACTTGACTATCCTGTAAGACTCCAGCCCTTTGCTTTCCCCGTTTACAGTTTGGATCAAACTGGGATGTATACTTGTCAAAGCCTGATGGCTCGTATATGAAGATGACTGTGGAAGAGCTTCTGCCAGTTTCCTTTGGCCCCAAAGACCTGACCAAGAAGAAAGTGTCTTACATTCCTAATAACAACTGAGCCAGTCTTCTAGTACGAAAACACACGAGTGTCCGTGACACGCAGCGTACTTCAAGCACATGCTGATCATGCATTGATGTAATGTAGCAGAAGTTATATTTATGGTCAATATTTGTTCTTGTATTATTTGTCGAAATGTAAACAATGTCAAATATTTAAGTGTACTCTAAATACCAAGTGATGCTAAAAATATACTGTAGAAACAATGCATCTGACTCAATTAGTCAACCATTTGCCCGCTTGTATATGATGAGTACTGTGTAGATACATAAACAATGTGTGTCGGTTAAAAGAAGCACAAAAAACAGAGATATCAAGGTCAAACATATTTGCACACTTTAATAAATAAACCGTTTTAAAAAGGAATTTAGTTACACTTCATTTTATACAGTTAGAATGACTTCCAAAAGACATAGAAGAATACAATTATTATTTGTTGAGCAGCAAATTATTCTATTACAGAGACAAGGGTGAGTTTTATGATGTGATTTTAGGTCTACTTATTCCATGCATTAACATCTGCTGTGGTTAAAGGGCCAAGTATTAAAATGGACAAATATACGGTTTGATTTATTGTTCCTGTTGATTGAAGGTAACAAACAAAACAGGTAAATCAGCCTCAAGCAGGTTAATCAATATGCATTTCACCCTGTTATTGGGTGTTCTGAGGCTGTGTAAGTTCTGTTTGTCTGAAAGCGATGTCAGCTATGAATAGCAAACTAAAGTACAAAATCAAATTCAATTCAAGGATCCTGCAATCCCACAGAGACAAATCATCTGTAACAGTGCAACAATTTCAGTTTGCATGCCATCATTAGCCTGCTCCCAAAGAAAGCCTCTGAAGTGTCAGATTTTTCCATCAGTGGGACATAACGTTAAAAGGTCAAACTCTAGGGAGGTGTTAACAGTGGATGGAAAGTTCAGAGGTTCAATGTGGTTTTAAAGTCCTTGAGCAGACAGAAATAAACGCACATCTCCCATGCTGCATGAGTTTAACCTCATGAATGTAGATAAACATTTTTGCACTCACAGCTAGCTACAGCTAGCGTCTGAGCCATAATGCATTGTGTGGATGTAAACACGTTAACAAAACAATTAAGAACGTGCATTCTGCTGTTGTAAAACACTGGGTTTCAACAGTTCAGTGGCAAACTACATCTGCAAAATAGAGCTTTAAAAAAAAAAACAACAACGAACAAACCTGAAAACTAATTTTCTTAATTCAGCTTCAGCCCTCTGCAGTGTCGTCAAAAAGCGTGGGCCATGCTGGGACACGTATCCTGGGCAGGGTCCCCTCCATTAGCCTCTCCATCCACAGTCCCAACCTGTCAAGCTTATGGTGGACCTCTATGCTAGTGGCCCTGCTGGAGCCTCTCCTGGAGCTGGATCCATCCTCCCTGGAACGGGATCGCGACCGGGAGTGTGAGCTAGACCTTGACTTGGAACGGGACTTCCTCCTGCTGTCTGAGGAGAATGAGGTATCAGAAGATGAATCGCTGCCATCGTCCCCTGTGAACACGGGTCTAAAGAGGCAGAAATATTTCTTGTGGCCATTCAGGGCCAGGACATAGCCCATGTAGTTGGAAGACTCCTCCTCGTCATCTGAATGGCTCTGGCTCTGCGCACCATCACGATCCAAGCGAAGGAGTGATGGCATCCAGTGGCGATGCTTATCGGCGTTGAGGAAGGAGAAGTGGAGGGTCTCAGACCTGCAGATAGGCAGCAAAGAGATTTAGGATTTAGGATAGCCATTGGAGGATATTAGCAGGCCAGATCAATAGTATAGCAGATACCACTTTAGACTCATGAAAAGTAAAACCTCCACACTTACCCAGAGAAAGAGAAAACCTCCTTGGCAAATTTCCGGAGCAAAGCACTCTTGGAAGCATTGGTGAGCACCAGCAGGACATTGATGTGGCCAGGCCTCAGCTTGACAAGGTTACTGGTGTATGTAATGCCTGTTAGCTCTGTCACCTCCACAAAGTCCTTTTTTGGAGGACGGCTACACAAACCAAAGGGGAAAAAATAATGAAATATGCTTTTGTAGTTCATGTCCATATACAGTACAGTGCAAAGGTTTTGAGTCATTATTCATTTCTTTATATTTTGCTTCCAAAGAGCCAAATGTTTTTGTGAGTTTCAAAGTTAGTCTTGAGCAGTAGCTCTCCAGGCTTTCTCGGAGGTCTTTCAAAGTTTTTCTTTGCACACTGCCTTCTTTTGCAATCCTTTTTAGTGCAGTTTCATGTTTCTCCTTGTTTGTTTGTTTTTGTTTGGTTTTTTTACACCACTTCAAAGTGACCTAAGAATCCTTCAAGCATAAAAAAAAGTATCTAACAAAAATGACCCATACCTGCACAAAGGTTTTTGGTGTATTGGACTGAGAAACTATTAACGCACAAACATTATTCTATTAGGTCACATGGAATCATCCATGATCCTGCCTGCTAGATAAAAACCTACAAAATTTCAAAATATGCTTTCAAAAGCATTATTTCCAATTAGAGTCGCTCATGGAAGGTATGAGAGTGGCTCTTATACTTGTCATTACATTACCTGAAGGTACTTGCTCTGCTCGATGCATCATCCTCAGTTCGTGTTTGCTCCTTTGGCTTTGGTTTTGGTTTTTGGGGTTTGCTCTCACCCGGCTCACTGAAAATATACCAAAGAAAGAAAATCATCAGTCTTTTGAGATCATGATATTTTCCCAGAGTTTGACTCAGCTCAACATCTGCAAGCACCTGCCAACCAGTCAAGTTTCAGTATGCATGTCTGCCAACAGGGTCTACCTCACCTGAACGCCTGGATGATGACGGTGCCAAAAACAATGAAGAGAGCTGAGAAGATCAAGGACAGAATAGGCATCATCTCTCGCCTTGCAGGAAAAAAATGAAGTAAAAAAAGGAGTTTGGATTGAAACATACAGGAAAAAAATACAATGCACAGCGCAAACTTTTCATTTTAGCTAATTTTGTCTCTACATGTTGATACACTTTAGAGGAGCAGCATTACAGCTGTAATTAAAGACAGAACGTAAGAACCTCAACGTTCATATTCATTCTGATACAGAATGATTCACCTACTTAATCATTTCAAAAATATCAGGAAAAACAAACATTGTTTGACTGTCTCTTTCTTACAGTGAACTCAGCAGATTCCCTGGATCAGTATTGTCTTACCAATTTGAGTAGAGAAGGTCATCGTATATTTGAAGCATGTAATCATAAGCAACATTCATCCACCGAATGATAAAAATCTGGTAAGGGAAAAATAAGGACATTATTGCAAAAATATAATTCAATGAAGTTCACCCTCAGATGAATGTGTGAATGCCCATGCAGACCCAGCCTGGCAGGCTCTCGACTAAAGCATCTACGCTGGCACTTACGGGGGCCATCTCGTTGTTGAGTTCTGGTAAGGTGGCGTCTGAAGTCAGATAGGTCGGGTCCTTCTGAAGGAGCTCCAGCTGTTCATGAAGGTGGTACTTGTCTTCCTCGCTGCCATTCCAGCCACCGCTCACGGAGCGGTACAGGACTTTACCAGTCTGGCTCCGCCTCTCGAGAATCACCACCTGTCAGTGTTTAGGAGCACTGTGACTGTAATTTGAGGCGCTGCACCATCTCTAGTCTGCACATATCGGTAATGTGACACATCGTATCAGAGAGATCTTCCATTGCAGGTTGTTCTGGGTAAATGAAGGTGGTTTGCCAAAAAGTGCAGGATGTCCTTGAGGTTTTGTTTTTTTTGTAGCAATAACAGACAGAAAAGTGATGATTGTTACAAAGCAGTGATTCCCAAAGTGTTGGCCGGGGTGGGCCGCAGTAATAACAGCCACTAAAAAAGATTTTCTGGTTTTTAAGCGGGCTGCAGAACTCTTGACTTTGGGGATTGCTTTTGTAAAGTATGGACTGTGCGTGTTTTGACCACTGACCTGAGCAGAGTGTGCGCCCTGATTTTGGAGCAATGCCTGGCAGAGAGGCTGCTGCTGACGCTGGTAGACATATGCAAACCGTAGCACATCTTTGCTGTTGGCTGAGGCGAAGTCCAGGAAGGCCTTATTGGCTGCGAGATAGGCTGGGTCATCGCCTGTGATCAGCAGCACACAGTACCTGCAACCCACTCACAATCAGCTCCCCAGCCACCGCAGTCAAATGTAGCTTTGCATTACCATCATGACAACTGTCCAACTATTCTGCTTCTTACAGTTATAAAAAAAATTATTTTTCTTCTAACAGTCTTGGTTCAGTTTACAAGAGGTCAATCTAAGTAGGATCATAAGTGCAGGACTATTGACTACTAATCTGTTCACAAAATGTCTTACTTCCTCCGCCTGTGGAACTGCTTGACAGGACATAGCTCATTAAAAAGCTGCTGGCTGACCAGTCGTGGCACCTGCAGGAACTTGTTGTTTGAGACAAACTCGTCCATCATCTGCCGCTTCATCCCTCTGGCCTGATAAAAAACAAAGATCCTTCTATGTAAAGTTTAAATCGATTACCATAAGGAACCGGCTTTAAGCTGCAGCATATTCCTGGTGTACCTGGATGATGTCAACAGGCTTCACCGTGTCTTCCTTAAAGAGCAGCATGGTGGGAGCATATGTGTTTATGTTGAACTGCAGCAGGAGCCTGGTGCTGCTTGTGCCACTCTGGTCCACAAAGCCGAAACGCACATAATCTCTGAAAGCGAATGCTGTCAACTGTGGGGTCGAATGGAAAGATTAGAGCCTGAAAGGGTGCTCAAGACAAAAATGACGCTGCTTTTGTATTCGTTTTTGATTGTTAACCATCTAAGGTGAAAATAAATTAGATAAAATTCTGTGCGGTATATAAATATAAAATTAAACTATTTGGAAAAAGGAACAATTTTAAGTGGAAGAGCTGCAAAAACAGAGACCTCTGCACTTGCTGTTGGGAGTCTATTTATGTGCCGTCATGCATTTTTGTTTTTTATAAGCAGGGGATGAGGCAGGCTGAACAACTCATTCTGTAATGAGTGATCTATTTGCTTGGAGCTGGATGTGTTCTTCTCCTACCTTGTAGAGCAGGGGAACAATGGGGACCTGATCAAACAACAGAACTCTGGGTTTATTTTCCACATGCCAGTTTTCAAGAAATGCCATGTAGTTATCGTCAGTGATCTACAAAA